GCTATCTGATATTTCAGGGACTTTCGGGCCCATGAACTCATTTTGGTAAAGAGACAAATTTGACGAACAGAGACATCCACAGTTGGCACCAGACAAGTTCATAAGAGAAGTTCCTACATTTCACTATGCGTACATTTTACAGCAGAGGAGGAGCAACGTAGACTAATATTGGGCTCCAGGTAATGGATCAGCATAAATGCTGGCATAGGCAGTAGAAAGTGCGTATCCCCTAGATGGGAGTATTCAAGTACTGATTGTCATTTCTTTTCATTTTGCTGTATATTTGTAAAAGTTTATAATAAAATGTGAGAAAAATTCAGCTACCTTTATGGGAGAAATGTGGTTATGAAATGGAATGGAAATATTATACACCATGTTGAGTACAAATATAATACAACCTTACCCTCATTTGGGGTAGAAAAGGTCAAAAGGTTTGGGGTTGTGCATGTGGGCCATTTTGCTCACCAGAAGCAATGGAAAGGCAGAGATTTCAGTAGGTATTGTTGAAAGGTGGGAAATCAATGGCTAGAGAATCTTTTGTACAAGACAATGGAGCCAAGACTTCAACGGAGGAAGGCACACAAGAAATAATGGGGGGCTCCATATTTTGGGCACTGCTTGTCCTGGAGAAGTAGTAGATGCAATGTAAGAAAAAAGCTTTGAAGACAAATCAGGTTCTCAGAGTAGATTGCTAAGATACAGTGCCACATAGAAACCTTAAGGCACTATTCATTTGTCATTTAAAAGAAATGCAAACAAATGCATAGACTGTTTTTACTGTGCATTCTTTTATAATACTTAATTAAAACAATAATTAAAACAAGCAAACCGGCCTTTGAGACATGTGGCTTTCAACTTTATCAAATGGGTGCCAGAGATTTATCCTCAGTTCACCCCTCTCAACCCAAAATAAAGAGAAACATATAAAGAACACAAGTCCTAACTGTAAAGAAGGAATGGATTCCAGAAGCAGATGATGAATCTGCATGAACTGCCAAGGGCAGGGAGATTGGAAAGGTTTAATGATGGAACACCCTCCCTGCTCCTAAGTGGAGGAAATGGGTGTGAGGATTCATTACTCCTTTAAGTCTTTTGGCCTTAGCAGTCTTTAAGGAATTGAACCATAGATGAGTCACAAGAAATTCAGGGCACAATTTCTGTGGGTTTCAGCCTCTTCTGGGTGAATCATTTCATTTCTAGATGGCAGGTTGTTTTACCCTCCTTCCTGTGTGGACTTATCAAAAGGCTCCTTGCTGCTCTCCTTGACCTTCAGGATGGACCTCTGTCTTACACAAAGCATGTCTTCAGCCTCTGTCTTCAGCCCCCAGCATGGGTACACTGACCTCTCTTTGAATGGCACAGGATTCCCGGATGCCTCGAGAAAGCTAAGGCCTGACATTAACTACCTGCCTTTGAGTTTCCCTCCATTCCGCTGCAGGGTTTCGATCTGTTCCTCTGAAGAATGGCTACAGTGAGGACATCGAACTGGCTTCCCTCCTGGTTTTCTGCGAGATGCGGCCAGTTCTGGTAAGTGGCAAAACACCAGCCAGTTGGGGGAGTGGCAACGGGAATACTGTTGTGAATACTGTTGCCTCATGACCTTCAACCCACTGAGGCTAAGACGTCATAAAAGATGAACAACTATGTTGCTAATTTCTTAAGGGCCCAGTGGTGTGTCCTCTGACCGTCCTCCTTCCTTGGAGAGTGCTGTGGGATT